TTTCACCAAAGCAGCCGATTGGTGTTCGCGAGTCACCTTGCGCCCAACATCTCCGGCGGGCAGTGACAGACATACAAAAACAGAAATTGCAGGCGAAACTAAGCAGGTCTGGGGAGGAAGCAGAGTTAACGTTTTGAGCCCAGGGTCTCTTTATCAGAGCAGGGAGAGTGCGCGACTATTCCCCAGTGACTGTGTGTTGCCTACCCCCACTGACGTGAGGCCGAGTCTCTCGGTCTGGTCGGTTGGACCCTCCACCCGCCCATGCGCCTGCACCTGCACCCCCAGTCAGCGATGATTCCGCTCGCGAGCAACTTGGCGCTCGAGCGCACTAACGCTCCCGGCTCAAGCGGATAGGCCGTTTAAAACCAGCCTCGCCTCGCGATCCGAGCCAACGACTTTTCTCTACACGCCCCCGCGGGGCATGGCCGCACCCTTCAGGTACAGCCCCGTCAAACAGAAGCACACTTACCTGCCACTCGCCGTGCGGAAGTGTTGGTGGTGGGTAGTGGGGGGAAGGCCTTATGCTTGCTTGCGCCGATCACCTACGGGAGATGAGTCGGACGTGGGTGCTCCACCTGCCATCTGCCTGCTCCACACTGTCCTACCGCCAGGTCCGCCCGACTGCTTCTCTTTGCCTGTACTCAATTGATGTTGTTCGCACTTCGCCCAGCTCACGGAGAGCGGGATCTTACTGTGCTCACTACCTTCGCCTCACGACGTTTCGAAACCGGTCGGCAGCAGTCGCCACACAACTACCCTAAACACTTCATTTCAATCATGCACAATGTCTTAAGTGTCAGTGATGCCCACCTTATGGAAGAATTTCAGGGACACAAGATTTACAGCACATGTACAGGCTTCGATCCACCTGATCTGGGAAAGCTTCAAAGGGTGGGCTTTCTCCCACAGATCTTCATCTAACCCCGTCAACACAATCTTTCTACTCCTTTGTCCCTCATATGCTTATCTAGCTTCCTTCCAGATGATACTGTGCGATTTACCTCTACCTTGTAACCACTCTCCGTGGAATAAGAACTAGGAGCAGGAGTAGGCCATCTGGCCCCTCAAGCCTGCCCCGCCATTTAATAAGATCATGGCTGATCTTTTTGAGACTCAGCTCCACTTACCCGCCCACTCACCATAACCCTTAATTCCTTTACTGTTTGAAAATTTATCTAGCCTTGCCTTAAAAACAGTGAGGTAGCTTCAACCGCTTCACTGGGCAGGGAATTCCACAGATTCAAAACCCTTTGGGTGAAGAAGTTCCTCCTGACCTCAGTCCTACATTTGCTTCCCTTTATTTTGAGGCAATGCCCCCTAGGCCTAGTTTCACCTGCTAGCAGAAACAACCTCCCTGCCTCCACTTTATCTATTCCCTTCATAATCTTACATGTTTCTATAAGATCTCCCCTCATTCTTCTGAATTCCAATGAGTATAATCCCAGTCTACTCAGTCTTTCCTCATAATCCAACCCTCTCAACTCTGGAATCAATCGAGTGAATCTCCTCTGCACCCCCTCCAGTGCTAGTATATCTCTTCTCAGGTAAGGAGACCAAAACTGCACACAGTACTCCAGGTGTGGCCTCACCAGGACCCTATACAGCTGCAGCATAGCCTCCCTGTTTTTAGACTCCATCCCTCGAGCAATGGCAGACAAAATTCCATTTGCCTTTTTAATTACCTGCTGCACCTGCAATCCCACCTTCAGCGATTCATGCACAAGGACACCCAAGTCCCTCTGCACAGCAGCGTGCTGCAATTTTTTACCATTTAAAACATAAGTCCATTTTTCTGTTATTCCTACCAAAATGGATGACCTCATACTTATCAACATTGTACTCCATCTGCCAGAGCTTTGCCCACTCACTAAGACTATCTATATTCCTCTGCAGACTTTCAGTGTCTTCTGTACACTTTGCTCTACCACTCACCTTAGTGTCATCTGCAAATTTTGACACACCACACTTAGTCCCCAACTCCAAATCATCTATGTAAATTGTAAACAATTTAGGTCCCAACACTGATCCCTGAGGCACACCACTAGCCACTGACCGCCAACCAGAAAAACACCCATTTACCCCTACTCTTTGCTTTCTACTGGTCAACCAATCCTCTATCCATGTCAATACATTACCTGTAATACCGTGCAACTTTATCTTATGTAGCAGCCTTTGGTGTGGCACCTTGTCAAATGCCTTCTGGAAATCTAGATACACCACATCCACAGGTTCCCCATTGTCCACCAATCAAGTAATATCGTCAAATAATACCACCAAATTAGTTAAACATGACCTTCCCTTCATGAACCCATGCTGGGTGTTCCCAATGGGAGAATTTATATCCAGATGTCTTGCTATTTCTTCCTTAATGATAGATTCAAGCATTTTCCCCACTACTGAAGTTAAGCTAACTGGCCTATAGTTACCTGCTTTTTGTCTACTTCCTTTTTTAAACAGTGGCGTCACATTGGCTGCTTTCCAATCAGCGGGAACCACCCCAGAGTCCAGTGAATTTTGGTAAATAATTACTAGTTCATTTGCTATTTCCCCCATCACCTCTTTTAGTACCCTGGAATGCATTTCATCAGGGCCAGGAGACTTGTCTACCTTTAGCCCCATTAGCTTGCCCAGCACTGCCTCCTTAGTGATAATGATAGTTTCTAGGTCCTCACCTGCTATAACCTTCTTGCCATTAGTTTTCGGCATGTTATTTGTGTCTTCCACTGTGAAGACCGACACAAAATAACTGTTTAATGTCTCGGCTATTTCCTTATTCCAGTTATTAAAATGGCCTTCTCATCCTCTAAAGGACCAATGTTTACCTTTGCCACTCTTTTACGATTTACATATTTATAGAAACTTTTGCTGCCTGTTTTTATATTCTGAGCTAGTTTACTCTCATAATCTATCTTACTTTTCTTTATAACTTTTTTTGTGGCTTTCTGTTGGCCTTTAAAGTTTTCCCAGTCTACTAGTTTCCCACTACTCTTTTTGCTTTTTCGTATGTGTTTTTTTCAATCTGATACTTTCTTTTATTTCCTTAGACATGCATGGCTGGCTCTCTCTTTTCCTACAGTTCTTCCTTATCACTGGAATATACTTCTGCTGAGCACTGTGAAAACTTGTTTTGAAAGTCCTCCACTGTTCCTCAATTGACCCACCATAAAGTTTTTGCTCCCATTCTACCTTAGCTAACTCCTTCCTCATTCCTTCATAGTCTCCTTTGTTTAAGCACAGGACATAGGTACTGGATTTAACCTTCTCACGCTCCATCTGTGTTTTAAATTTGACCATACTGTGATCGCTCCTTCCGAGAGGATCCCTAACTGTGAGATCATTAATTATTCCTGTCTCATTACACAGGACTAGATCTAGGATAGCTTGCTCCCTCGTAGGTTCCATTACATATTGTTCAAGGAAATTATCGCGGATGCATTCTATGAACCCCTCCTCAAGGCTGCCATGACCGACCTGGTTTGACCAATCGATATGTAGATTAAAATCCCCCATGATAATTGTTGTACCATTTTTACATGCATTAGCTATTTCTATGTTTATTGCCCGCCCCACCACGATGTCATTATTTGGTGGCCTATAGACCACACCTATCAGTGACTTCTTCTCCCTGCTATTCCTAATTTCCACCCAAATGGATTCAATGTTTTGTTCAGTAGAACCTATATCATCTCTCACTATCGCCCTGATATCATCCTTAAAAATCAGAGCAACACCACCTCCCTTACCTTCCTATCTGTCCTTCCGAACAGTTTGATACCCCTGGATATTTAACTCCCAGTCATGACCATCCTGTAACCGTGTCTCTGTAATGGCCACTAAATCATACCCATTTGCCATGATTTGCACCGTCAACTCATCCACTTTGTTTCGAATGCTCCAAGCATTCAGATAAAGTGCCCTTATGCCAGTTTTTGCACCTTCTTTTTGGGTCCTATTACCTCCATTACTAACAGCTCTTGAGTTCTCCTTCCCTTTAACTTTTTTCCTAATTTTCAATGGAGTTGAATAACTTATTAAATTCTTGTACTGCCACAAAATAACCATATCATTTTATTAGTACAATTAAAATACCTGGTGCAGCCCTGATAGAAGTGGAACCGTTGACCATTTTCTAGATAGAATTTGCAATAGGCAGCTTAGTCCCTTGAGCCTGCTGTGAAGTTCAGTGAAATCACAATCACACTTATGCCCCATATCCTTTTATATTTTTGTTAACCAAGGCTATTATTCTCAGATTTGAAGTTAACAATTGACCAAGCAACTACTGCCATTCACAGAACTGCACCGCTCCTTGCAAATAGAGTGTTTTCTAATTTTATTCTTGAAAGGACTGTATCTAAATTGTAGGCTGTGTCCCCTAGTCCTAAACTCTCAATCAGCAGCAATAGTTCCTATGGCAAAAATTTTCCCATTTTTTTCTAATCGTAAGGCAAGCATGTTAGCTGGTTGGGATACGAGCAAGGGTGAGTATATTGCCCTCACAATTAACGAAGCTGGTCGCCTAGAAGCTGCCAGCCAGTAAACAGTATCTTTTGGTTCAGAAAGTATGCCTGAAGTGACCTATTCCTCTGGGGATGTAGCAGCAAGAAGTTCTTTTTTCCTCCTCACAGGGTGTGGGTTGCAGAGAATGGAGTCATGAGGCTTTGAAGCAAGGGCAGATGCTGGATTTCCGAGACCATCCCCTTGACTGTTATTGCCCCAAAATTGCTTTCCCCAGTTGGGAAACTAGTTGCCTTTGTAACCAACTAAGGAGACAGGTAATTGGGAAAATGGTGAGTTTAGGCCTGTATGTGGCCACTAATTGAGGGCATAGGTTTAAGGGGAGGGGGAAAGATTTAAAAGGAACCCGAGATGTAACTTTTTCACGCAGAGGATGTTGCGTATATGAAACAAGCTGCCAGAGGAAGTGGTAGAGGCGGGTAAAATTGCAACATTTAAAAGAGATGTGAATAGGTAAGTAAATAGGAAAAGTTTAGAGGGATATAGGCTAAATGCAGACAAATGGGGCAGTTTCAGTTTGGGAAACCCGGTTGACATTGACAAGTTGGGCCAAAGGGCCTGTTTCTGCACTGTATACTTCTATGACTTAAGTGCCTTAAATGCTGGTGAGTTGAGAAAATTATCCATGGGTCTTCTTGTCCTGCCCACATTTGCTGAGGTGGTGAGAAAGTTGTGAGTTTCTGTTCATTTATCACCATCTCCATGGAGGGGATAATCATTGTCTGTCTACCTTAAAAGTTCCCCTTAGTAATGTAAATTCCAGGGAATACAGCTTGTTTGTGTAATCATTCTTCATATTAATCCTTGGGAGTCCTGGTATTCAGATTATTTGAGTCCAATCTATCCAATGTGATGTGGGAACCAGATCAACTCGTGGTTGGAATATTAGATTTTTTTTCCATTTAATTAACTTCCTTGTACCATGCGTTTCCTTGTGAAAAACTGTTGCTGACTAGGTCAAACATTTACCCTTACCTGTTCTGCTAAAATTTATGCTGCTCAGACGCCTGCTCATCATGCCACACAGGGAACTTCCAGTGGTCCAGGATCTTGTTACATCGCACAGATTTTCCACTTAGCAAAACATTCCCCTTATTGTCAAACCCTAGGACCTCTCCCATGGCCCCACACTCAGTGCTGCTATAAGCTACCTCATGCCGACAGACTAATAATGCATTGCATAATAAAAAGGACAACAGCCTTAAAGCACCAATCTGAAAGCACTGTCAGGAAAGATCAGCAACTCATAAAAGCAAGAAGATCCAAGCAGCAGCTAAAGCAGCAACAGGGAAAAGTGACAGATACTTGGATTAGAAGAAATAAATCGAAACTCACATTACCAGCTAGGGTAGGGAATGGCAGAGCCCAAGAAATTCAAGGTAAGTCCTTAATTTGTCATTTATCAAAAGTGTTACAAGAATAATATCCTTCAGGTAAACAAATAGGTCTGTCATGGTCAATGAAGGCATGTCCTATTCACAACTTCAAACATGGACATGAATTTATAGATCATTTTCAGAACTTTTTTAAACAAAATCAACTAACATTAAGAGATAGGAGAAATGGAGTGGATTGTGTGCAAACAGGACTCTTCTTACCCAATAAATAAGTGCAACAAGAATCACTGCAAAATCTATTCATGGAAAATGAACTAGAATAAATCAAGTGGTAATCACAGGGTAACGTCCAAGTATTAGCAGTCATAACACAATATGCTTTAAGGTAGTGAATGTCTTACTCATATCTTCCTCAAAAGACCAAAAAAAAACTGGTAAAACGTTTTTTGTCTTGAGAATAAACTGGAAAATATACTGGCATGGTGCCAATGAGGGAGGGAAGCAAAGGATAAAACAGTAGTGGGAATTTTTTTTTCTAAAATGGTAGGAGTTTAGGTGAAAAAAAAATCACTGAAAACAAGAATTTTCCAATAATTAAGGTCTAAGAGTCAATAAAGAGAGACAAGGCATTTAAATAAGAGTGCATACCGCTGCCATACTGTGTAAACAGTATCAAAATTGGTAGTGTTCCCACCTCTGGGCCAGTGGACCAGGTTCATGTCCCACATTACTCAAGTGTGTCGTAACACATCTTAACAGATTAATTGAAAATATCTAGAAAGAAGCCATATAAATTAAAACTTGTTCAAATTTAAAGATAATGAAATGCCTGGTCATTCACACAATAAAAGCAGCTAGGGAAGAGGTAGCAGGTAAGCCCAAATCATCTGGTCTCTGGAGACTGAACTAGGACAGACGAGGGAAGAGGAAGTCCTGAGGCGCGGACATACATGGGAATTACCCAGGAAGTTTAAGCTTCTGATGGGTAATTCCCTGCTATGCTGAACCTAACACAAAGGTCTCCAATCCCGAGGTCAACGATTTGGACTAAATATGCACACCTTTGATAGTTAGCCAAGAAACATTAAGCAGTTTAGAACCTGGCTCATAACATCTGGGTAACTCCACAGCTGAATCCTAATCATCCGTCCAACCATCTTACTAGTTACGAGTACGGTAGGCCAATTTAGTAAATTAAATATATTTGAATTTTCAAAAGCCTTTGATGAAGTACTATTATCAGTAAACTTAACTGAGGTCAAAGGGCACATAGTAGGATGGATAGAAAATTGGCTTCAAACTAGAAAGTAGGCTTTAAAGGTATACGGTCAGACTGGTGGACGTCGAATAGAACCGTAGAATGATGCAGCACAGGAAGAAGCCATTCTGCTCAATGGGCTGATACTGATCTTTAAAACAGCTAATAAATTAAGCCATTCTCCTGCTCTTTTTCCATAGTCTTGCAAATTTATTTCCTCTAGTCCCCCTTTGAAACTTATTATTGAATCTGCATCCATCAAGCAGTGGTGTTCCAGAGATTAGTGCTTGGGCCACCATTGTTCCCCTATTTCAGAAACAATGTGGACTTGAGAACTGGAAGTGGAATTTCAAAATTTGTGGATGTCACCAACTTGGGAGTAGACTGCAAAGGAATACAGAAGACTGTTAATAAATTTGCAGAATAGCTGTATAACTGGCAAATTAAGTGTGAAGTAGTGTATTTTGCTGGTGAAAATAAGAATCTAAATTGAATAGAAAAACAAAGGGACGTAGGAGTGCAAATTTTCAAATCATTTACTGTAGCAACATGGGTGAACAAGATCATAAAATTGCAAAGCAAACATTGGGGTACATTTCTGGAAGAAAAGCAGACTGATAATCATGAATAGAACTTTGTTTAAAACATGATTAGAGTACTGTGCACAGTTCCGGTATATGCATTACAAAAAGAAATAGATGCAGTGGAAAAGGTGAAATAAATATTTATCAGAATCCTTTTGAGAATTAAGAAGTTATAACCATCAGGAAAGATTGAGCAGACTGGACCCTCTTCTGCAGAAAAGAGAGGACTGAGGAATAGTCTTATAGAAGGTTTTAAAATAATGAAAGGGTTAGTACAGTAGGTAGTTAATAGGTAAAGATAAAATGGGAAGAATCTTCTGGTCCCAGAGGAGGTGAGCTTTGATGGGTGAAGGGTGCTTAATTAGGCAGGGTGACAGTATAGCTAAATCCACCACTTTACCCTCTCCACCAGCAAGAAATTCTGGGTGGGAAGCCTCATAGTTGACCTTCCCACAGTGCTGCCAATTGAAGCATTTAAATGGCCAATTAAGAACCATTTAAAGGCATCATCCCACCACTGCTGGAAATAACACAGCTGCAAGTAAGCCCAATACCATGCAGCACACTGGACAGGTCAGACTGCAGGCCATTGTCTTCATCAAGGACAATTCCCCACCCAACCCAAGATGTCAATCAGTGGGTTCAGGAAGAGGAATACCCTCTGAAAGCCACCCTCTGCCCTTGCTATCAAATCCCCATATCCTTTTCCCAATAGTCCCAAACCAGGATACGCCCCTCCCTACATCATGTACTTTGGTCCTGGGTCGTCCTGTTGATGGAATTCTGGGGGTTCTTTCCCAGGAACAGCCCTGGCCCTCCTTCAGTGCCCTACTGAGCACAAGAACTGCCAGCTCCTGATTGGCCAGCAAGTCTCGCTAAATGAACTTTCAGTCTTAGGGGTCTTTATTACATTTTCATTGTGATATCTAGAATACATTTTAATCATGCATCAGAAATGTGTGTATGTAAATATCACCTTACTCAAGTTCTTAACAGAAGAATAATTTTAATAATTGCGGTCAACATAAATTGTCAAGAAGGAAGCAAGAATTAATAAAAACAACTTTTTAACGATGAAATTACTAAAAGAACCTCTATCCTTTTGACCAAAATGATTGGAAGCCTTAAACCATGGAAATGACAAATACACCACTTATAAAGAACAAATCAAAATCATTCAAAATGGCTTGTCATACATCTTACACTTGCTATTTTTCTCCTCAGATTGAAAAGATTTCTTGTGAAATAAAAATGTCACTATAATACAACTTAGCATATCTATAAAATGGTATTCACATACCTAACATTTTTATTTGGAGGATCTAACCTCTCTCAAAAGCCTAATTTGCATTGATATTTTCTGAGTTACCTGCCAGCTGAAGGGCATTAGCAAATAGCACACGTGCTTGCAATTCTCACAATGTAAATCCAAGCATGAGCAAAACAGAATTTCAGAATTTTACGTTATTAATTGATTAATTTTCAGTTGAGAGATATCCTGCCTCAGAACAGAAGGGTATGATTATATGATTATGCATCATGTTAATCAAAACCATATTGAAAATAATAGTTATTTACAAAGAGGTAGTTATTTTTTTCTCAATGCAAGTGACCTTTCAATAGCATTTCTGTTTGCGTGATCCTAAAAGTCATTTGAAAAAAACCTGGCAGAAGACTTCAAGCAACCTTTTTGATTAATAGGTTCTGATGTAGTTGAAACTTTGTTTAATGTGCATTAAGATGTTTCTAACTGAAATATATTTCTTGGTTTGCTCGTTTTGTTTTTTTTGTGTAAGAAACATGTTCAGGACATCTTCAGCTTGATGTTTCAGTGACTAACACCACGTTAATGAACTGAACAAGAAAAAGCTATCAAACCAGGTTTGTTCTATTTCTGGAATCTCTTCATTCTGGTATCTGACTAGTCCAAAACCATCAGTTGTTTAACAATATTACACTACAATGAATGGAAGAAATACTATTTATGAACTATTATCACTAAACTCAAGCCTTGGAAACCACTTTCCAATGTCTTTCACTGAAGTTATACACTGTGCATGCACTTACACTTCCCAGCCCATAATACTGTTCTAATAGTTTACTCATTTGAAGCAACACATTGCAAGGTTCATATTTATGGAGAATTGGTTAAGGTAACAGATATGACCTGTTCATCATAATTCTGCTAATTGTATCCCTGCCAGAAATACTCAAAATCTTATTCTTGTATAATTTTCAAATGCTTCACTCATTCAAATTTCTTTCTGCTGGAAATGCATGAATGTAATAAACATGAATATTCATGTTTATTAATTTGCATGGAGCAGCAAGCCATCAGTACAGGACAACAGCAACGAGGAACAAGATTATAAATAAACTTTCTCTTGTAGTGTTTGGAGAAATGCAATTGTACCCTTTGTGTACCAGCTGACTTGCCACACTCATATGACTTCTGCCTTTCCTGTAAATACCTTTGGGTGCAGTCTGTAAGAAGCATTAAAACATTCATCACTTGAAACATGATGTCAGAATGGTACAGCTGGAAATGTGTAGAATTTCAAAGCTATAAGATCATCAGCCATTGAAAGAAACATAAAGGAATTATAAAAAAGACAGCAGTCTGCAACTGTGAATTATTGTGAGAAATGGGTGCACATTTTCCACTAAATAGCAACAGAATTAATCAAAAAACTTCAGCAAATAACATTTGTAGATTGGTAGCCTTGCTACAAATGTTGGGGAGAGTGCTACAAGTCATAGATCTCATGAAGGAGCAAAAAAAAATCATGCAGGCTTTGTATATGTGCACTTTGAACCCAATATTAATATTACTTATAAATTTGTTCAACAGAGTTCAAGGGAAGAGTGAGACGATTAATCAGTATGTGACACTGATACATCTAGCTGGATCCTGACAGTCTGGACAACTGAAAGATAATGTCATCACCTTGACTTGTCTTTGGCAAAAGGGATCCTGATGTAACAGCGCATTTGCTTACAGGAGTAACTTACTCATCAGAACACTATCAATGTGTGCAGAAGCTCCTAGCACGTCAATTGTTATAATAGTCGTAAATACGAATGACCAAATTTTAATTTCCTTCATCTGATTGTCATACCCGACATCTTTATCATAGACTAAAATAATTTCAAAAAGGAAGAAATTCAGTGGAAAAATACACCTATAGAAGGCATGGAAAGTTGCTACTCCAAAGACTCATTTTACACTGCAGCTGAAGCCAAAAATAATAACAAATGTGTGAGTGACAAAATCAAAGTAAAATGACAGAACACCAAATCATATTTTGATGTAACTACCAAGTCATTGCCAAAATTTAGGGCAGTGATGAATATCTCAACATGACTGTGTCAAAGTATTCCACGCTCAAATAATTTTTGTAGAAAACATTTTCCTATGCTCACTCTCAGCAATAATCACAAATTGATGACCCCTCATCAATGACTCTATTCAAAGAACATAATCTTTGCTCATTCATTCGTTTAAGGATGCCAAAAATAATAACAAATGTGTGAGTGACAAAATCAAAGTAAAATGACAGAACATATTTTGATACAACTACCAAGTCATTGCCAAAATTTAGTAATCGAAATCAGTCGAAAAACACTTAACAAAAGTCTCCCACATGGCCACTTGAGACCTGGGTAGTCCAGCATGCTGAACATGAATGAATATATGTAATCACAACTGCAAATATCTGTGTACAACAAGAGAAGCTGTACCTTCACTGCAGGCAGTGGATCAAGAAGAAGTGATCTCACCATCTACACAGAGTAGAACAACAATTAGTCTTATGGGTCAAGTGTTCCCCAGCATCAGAAATGGATCAGCAACAGTTACCGTGGCAATGATACTTGCCATAGGAGTGATACGTGCCAAAGAGGAGACACCGCTCTGAAAGCAAAAAGATACCAGAGGAACAGCCAACAACAATATGCATACGTACTGTTAGGACATCTGTATGATTTAAAGACTGTATACAACGCATGTGCAAAGACTGATGAAAGTGGAGCAGACTGAAATCGTTGTATTGTTTGTTAATAGATAGCACATTTCTTTGTGATCCATGTACATTGGACAACTGTGATAATCTTTAAATACATCTTGTTTCTTTTTTTTGTGAATGCGAGATATTTGGAGAAGTGAAATTATATTGGCTCGCTTGTGTAAACACTTGACCTGTACCTCTGCTGTAACAGCCTTTGATGTGGTTTGTAGGAGTCGTTAAAACACAATCACTTGAGATTATAGTTTATTCCTTAGTTAAAACCAAAACTGTTCATGAATAAATGGTCATTTACTTAAAAATGTTTAACATGTCAAACATGCCATATCTTTGATATGTCCGAATCCTGCTCTGATCGCCACAATTTCTAATATTTTAACTATTTATCTACTTTGACCTTAAAAGAGGCAGTGATGAATGTCTCAACCAGACTGTGTCAAAGTACTCCATGCTCAAATAAATTTTGTAGTAAACATTTTCCTACATTCTCTCAGCAATACTCACAAATTGTTGATCGCTCAATGACTTTTTCAAAGAACATAATCTTTGCTTATTCATTCAGTTAAGGATTGTTATAATGTTGACAACCTTGATTAAATCTCCTCCGTCCCGGTAAAAGTGATCCCAATATATCAAGCCCTTCCTTCTAAGCAATTTCTTCTCCCAGGAATCATCTCTGTGAATAGTTTTAATTTTCTTCTGTAATGAAAAACACCCAAAGGACAATATTCTAATCTGACCATATCCTTGTAAAAACTTTCTTATCTCTTCTTGTACTTCACTCTTGTATTTATAAATTGACAATGCTTGTTTTGTGTCTTTATCCATCTGCGCTTCCAATGGATTATGGATTTGATTGTTCATTCACAGCCAGTGTCTATTAGGTGTATGTTCCTTTCTTTTGCTCTTAGAATGTGTACTTTCACGCTGCTAAACACTAAATTGTACATGCTACCCATCTACACATTTCATTTTACGTACGCAGCTAATTTCGTTATGTGATGTGCTCTCTGTGCCGAAGTCAAAAATCAGAAATATCACTTCCATCTCTGAACAACACCCTTACCTGAATTTTAGTTTGTCTTTCATATAACTTTATTTTCAAGATACTTTATTTGTATACATATGTATGTGCACTTTATTATTTACTTGTCACTTTAACCCTTTTCATTCAATTCTGAAGTCCTGATTCTGTTCACCGTCGGACCTGGCTGTTTGGGATGACATTTACACATCATCTTTTCATTACCAAAAGGCTCAGTTCATTTTTGATTTACACCGCTGCTAATTTTTCCATGCTCTTACTGACCAGTTTAAACTTATCTCTAACATTTCATTTCTCTTCCACAACCTGACTTCAATCATCTCTGCAGCCCCAACAAGTACTCTGTTAAATTCATTACAAAATCCATCGCCTACCTATATTACAGAACCACAACTATTCCACTATCATGGCTCACATCTTAATCTCCAAGTAACTTGACTAAAGAAATATCACCATCCCTATTTCCTCCCTTCACTTTAGTCTCACAAACTACCCACTGCAGCAGACCTGCAGATTCCAGCATAAACACCCATTACCAGAAAGGAAATAGATGACCACGTAATCGGTTTTCAGTGTTGTCAGTTGATGAATGAATATTGACCACAATACCATAAGAACTCTTTTATTCTTCTGAGTAAAGTAATAGAATCTTTGACATCCCCTTTAAAGAACAGATGTTTAGTTTTGGAGATAGTAGGAACTGCAGATGCTGGAGAATCCGAGACAACAAGGTGCAGGGCTGGATGAACACAGCAGGCCAAGCAGCATCACAGGAGCAGAGAGGCCGACGTTTCGGGCCTAGACCCTTCATCAGAAAAGGGGGAGGGGAAGGGGGTTTTGAAATAAATAGGGAGAGAGTGGGAGGCGGATAGAAGAGGGATAGAGGAGAGAATAGGTGGAGAGCTTTTGATTTCTCATCTGAAAGACAGCATTTCCAACCTTTTTAGCTCTCCAGGGTTACCCTTAAGTGTCAGCCAGGATGATGTACTTGATCATAGAGTCATACAGCACAGAAACAGAGCGTTTGGTCCAATTCATCCATGCTGCCCAAGTTTCCCAAACTAAATTAGTCCCACTTGCCTAGATTTGGTCCAAGTCTCTCTAAACCTTTCCTATTTATGTACCAGTATAAATATCTTTTAAATATTGTAATTGTGCTGTCATTGACTGCTTCCTATGGCAGTTCATTCCACATACAAACTATCTTATGTGTGAAAAAGTTGCCCTTCAGGTCCCTTTTAAATCTTTCTTCTCTCACCCTAAAAATATGCTCCCTAGTTTTGGACTTCTCCCTAAGAGAAGACCTTTGCTGTTGACCTTAACTATACCCTCATGATTTTATAAACCTCTGTAAGGTCACACCTCAACCTCCTCCACTCCAGTGAAAAAAGTCCCAGCCTATCCATCTCTTTTTAACTCAAACACTCCAGACCCAGCAACATCCTGGAAAATCTTTTCTGAACCCTCTCCACTTTAATAATGTCCTTCCTAAAGCAGGGCAACCAGAACTATTCACAGTACTCCAAAAATGGCCCCATCAACATCTTGTACAACCTCAAGATGATATCTCAACTCCTACACTCAATGCTCTGAGCAATGAAGGCAAGCCTGCTAAACACCTTCTTAATCACCCTGTTTACCTGCAACACAACTTTCAAAGAACAATGTACCTCTACGTCTCTGTTTGACAGCAGTACCCAGGGCCCTACCATTATTTGTATAAGTCCTAGCCTTGTTCATTTTACCAAAATGCAAAACCTCACATTTATCCAAAGTAAATTCCATCTGCCACTCCTCACTCCATTGGCCCAATTGATCAAGATCCCTTTGTAATCTCAGATAACATTCTTCACTGTCTACTATCCCACCAATTTTGGTGTCAAACGGAAAATTACTAACCATGCCTTCTAAATTCTCATCCAAATCATTTATCCGAATGACAAACAACAGTGGACCCAGCACCAATCCCTACAGAACATCCTGGAGAGTAAATTAAAACCACAGGTTTTGTTTTATAGAAAACAGTGATACCACTTCACTAAGAATGGAACAATCTAGACAATTTTCCACAGGAATTAGTTCAGCAGTTGCCTTGAAGAGATGGGTTAATCATGAAGGCAGCTCACCATCACCTCCTCAAGAGAAATTAGGGACAGGCAATAAAATGCTGGTCAGCTAGTGACACCTACGTCCAATGAATGAATAAGAAAAAAACAGTAATCAAATCAGATATTGGCATCAGCAATTGAATGTGAATTGTGTTCTGGAATCCCAAGTTACATGAATAATTGGTAAGTAAGTAATCTGGTACCACTATCAAGAGACATACAAGTTCACTAAAGTCTGTTGTCACCAATGCAACCAGACCACCATGTGAATTATCGCCTTCCTAAAGTACAGGGAGCAAGTTAGAGAGAAAAAAAAATCAGTGGCTCATGTATTCTCCATTTGGCAACGGGTGCTTTCTCACTTTGTCAGCCATGATTCAACAATATTATTTTCACCTCAGATTGAGAAGATAGGCATTCCAAGCTCCACTCTTAGACTCGAGCACATTATCCATACTTATGCACCCAGTGGTGCCAACATTTTTAGATGAAACATAAAATGGAGGTCTCCTCTTCCTCCTCAAGCAGAACCAATGGCATTGTTCAAAGAAGAATATATGCTTTCTCCTAGGGTGCTGGCAACATTTTGTCCCTCAAACAACCAACATTACTAAAACAGTTTAATTATCACTCATATATTGTGGTATGCTACCACGCACAAATTAAACCCTATCTCCCTATGTTACAATAATAATCATATTTCAAAACAAGCTGCAAAGCCCTGAGGCCATGGTAGATGCAATATGAGTGCAAGTTTTTTTCTCTGATACGAGATAGTTAAATAAAGAATTCTCAGCAGATCTTCAGGCCATCTGCCAACCTGAAAGGGTTATACTACAAAGAAACTCCGAAGAAAATGATTAAAAAAAAAGGTTAATTCCCCTCTGTTTGGAATAGCCAGATTTAACTATATTCAAAACTAACCAACAAATGAATCTTTATTTTCTAAAAGCCACGGAAGCTATATCCTAAATTCTGAATGAGGCCAATATTTGGCATACACTGCTCAACTCCAAAATTTAAGTGCTGCCTCTGCCTCACGTTTAAAAATAAATTCATCATCCATATTAGAATTTTTCATTGTTGATTCTCATCTACAAGTTGCTATGCAACAAATACAGTTGTCACATGAAACGCAAGTTTATTAAGGAACTCAGTGATTTGAATCGCAAACCTGAGATGTCAGGAGACTTTAGAATTTTTTTTGCCAGCTAGTTATTTTTGTAATTAATTTTCAGTATACAAATACAAATAAGAAAACCTAAAAATTAGAATTGTTGTGAACATCATAAATTACAAGTTACTGCTAAACTTAATGTGTTCATAGGACATACCTCACCACTATTATTTTGTAATTTTATAATAGGTGAAATTAGTGACAATAGTAGTTGTCAATGCCAGTTTCCACTGGCAAAGGTGACTTCTCAGATCCTGCTCAACACCAACAATTCCTATATCCCAAAAATCGAACTGTAAACCAAAACCATTAAATCTACTACCTCCTGCTCACGACCCCAAAAGCCACAGCTCAAGTCACACCATCAATAGTGCAATGCAGGATGGCTGCAGAGCTGGACTTCAGAGTACATTTTAAAATTTTATGACCATTCTAAAGTCATTATCTTAGTTTTTTTTTCTTTATTCATTAACAGGATTAGGGCATCACTGGCTAGGCAGTATTTATTGCCCATCCCTAATTGCCCAGAGGGCAGTTCAGAGTTAACCACATTGCTGCAGGTCTGGAGTCACATGTAGGCCAGACCAGGTAAGGATGGCAGTTTCCTTCCCTAAACGACATTAGTGGACCAGATGGGTTTTTCCAATAATCGACAGTGGATTCATAGTCATCATTAGGCTCTTAATTCCAGATATTTTATTGAATTCAAATTCCACCATCTGCCATGGCAGGATTTGAACCCAGGTCCCCAGAACGTTATCGGGGTCTCCAGATTAACAGTCCAGCAATAATACCACTAGGCCATCACCTCCCCCGGTGTTCTGAATTTAACATCTTTGAAATTTAAAAAAACTGGATTTCAAACTGACCTAATCGGCCCTTGTTCTTCACTTCCATTGATACAAGGTTAATCCTGCATCCACAGAAGAAAAGATTTCCAGAAAAATCTTCCAAGTGTACCAGATTCTGGCA